GGATATAGAAAAATTAGAACCCTCATACACTGCTGGTAGGAATGTAAAATGGTATAACCACTTTGGAAAACAGTTACAATTTGGCAGTTCCTCAAAAAGTTAAACACAAATTTACCATATGACCCAGCAACTCCACCCAAGAGATGTGAAAACATATGTCACACAAAAACTTGTACATGACTGTTCACATCAGCATTTTTCACAATAGCCCCAAAGTAGAAACAACTGGAATGTCCATCAGCTGATGAATGGATAAACAAAATGTGGTATATGTATACAATATAATGCTATTTGGCAATAAAAAGGAACAAAGTACAACAGAAAGTAGATTAGCAGTTGCCAGGGGTTGGCGGGGTCAGAGGTGACAGCTAATGGGGTTTCTTTTTGGGGAGATGAAAATGCTCTAAAATTAAATATGGTCATGGGTGTACAACTCTGTAAGTATACTAAAAAACCACTGAATTGTACACTTAAAATGAGTGAATTTTATAGGATGTAATTTATATCTCAATAAAGCTGTTAAAAAGAAAAGAAAAAAGAAATAAGTAGCGTAGCGACTGGATATAACTGGCTCTGTATGCCAGGCTAAGACATTTGGAATTTCTACTGCATTAAAATGAGGCACCCCTGAGATTCAATTTGTAGAGTGCGGCTAAAATTACTGAGACATAAAATTCTTGAAATACACGCTCGTTAATCTTTAGCATCAATCAAAGTCCCAGTTATTAACAAGCAGCTTATATATGCATTTGGAATAAACTGGCAGCTGACCCACCTGGAAAGAGGAGAATCTGTCATATGAATAAAAACCAAACACTCCAATAGAAAAGACAGAAGGACTATGGTTATAAGTATCTAGCGCTCCCTTTAATTGTAAGGACAACCACCACATAATAAAATTAAACTGACCAAATTGCCAAGAGTATCTACTGAATACATAACATTTGGAACAAATTTTGAAGAACACAACATAACAATGATGTGAGCAAACATTTTTATGAAAACATGAGATTGAATGCAAGTAACAAATTCTAGAAGGATACTCACAAGGAGAAATTTCAGTTCTCTGTGAAGGTGACTCAAAGGACCTCTGGGTTCTCCTGATTCCACCTTAATATTCTAAAAAATTCCCAAAGTCAGTTTTCACTGGTAATTGCATCTTCTCAGCATAAGGGTCACAGTTACTTGCATTTCAAACTACCCACACATTAAAAAATATATTTCATAAAGCACTAATGAGTTGAAAAAGTAGGGGCATACTTCATTTAGAACATCTTACCCAGAGATACCATAGATACTGCCCATCCCCATACAGTAACCTAGACTCAGGCCACCACATCCTCTCTCTACACCACAATTGTACCTACATGCAACAATGCTCTGCTCACATGCTCTTTTCCACTGAATTTCCAAGAGGACAAGTGGGAGAAATATAAATAAATACATCTCAAGACTCAGTGACAAATTTAGCATTACCACACACCAAAAATAAAACCCCTCTAATAAATACATTCATTAGACTCCTTCTAACTAAAGCAACAGTGTGCTGTCTTAGCCAGAGGTCAAGGTTTTAACCTCTAAGATCTTTGAAATAAAGGTGGGGGATGCAAGAAAAGAAAAAGGTAAATGTCATTGTATGTAAATTCCTATTGCAGGAAAAGAAAAGCATTAAGAATATAATTATCCATAATCCCACCACCCTGAGGCAACCTCGACTAACACTATCCAGGCTTCTGTGTACACATTTTTTAAAAATAGTAGAGATCCCACTATATATACAATTTTGTACTTTTTCCTTTTGTTTGCTTAATAGTAAGCATTTCCTATTATTATTAAAGACATTATGATTTTTAAAGAATGTGTATCTCATCATGGAAGTCTATTTTAATCATTTCCCTATTGAAATTCAGGTTTTATTTTTAATACTTTGGAAACACAGCTATATCATTGCATTGAATATCTTTGTACATATATTTTGATTAGCCATTCTGATTAATTTCTCAAGATAGAGTTCTAGAAATGTAAATATAAGGTGAAAAGACTTAATAATATAATGATTCTTGATGTGTTGCCAATATCTATACTCTTTTAAGAATAGCAGAGATAATAAGTCACTTTGATGATTTCCTTTGAGTCCCCACTCAAGAGACTTTATTAATTACTGGAAAATTCTTAAGTCACATAACTGCAATACTATGGGCAATTGATAGATCAGATCTCCAGGCAATACCTCCACTGGCTGCCCTGGTGAGACTTTAGGGGCCAACGGAGCCTTTCACAGTTGTCTGCCTGGGGCTGGAAGCACGTAGCACTAGCAACAAGCATGTAAAAATTAAACCCGCATCTAGGGGCCTCATTAACTCAACAGAAAGCAGGCTCCGCTCCTACCAGAGTTGCAGTTGAGGAGAGTGGCGGGACTTGAAGAATCTCATCCACAGGACTCCAGGAAATATCCAAAGTGATCACAGTCTGCGATGCAGCAACCGTATCGTCCAAGGCAGTGGACTTAAAGAGCTCATACTGGGCAAAGCCCCTGGCTGTCACCTAAAGAGTGCATCCCGCAGACCAGTTAGCTATGCTTTCACATGACCAAAGGCCCATTATCAAAACTACTTCGATTCTTTTCCCCAAAGAAGAAAAAGAGCTATACTTTTATCCCAAATAGAAAAATAAGACAATTATTTTTAATCCCAAAGAGTAGCTAAAAGGCAAGAAGGCAGACATTTTAATTTTAGTCATTAGCTTATATGAAAATAAACACAAACATTTTGATACTACAGAAAAATATCTAGTGATATAAGGAATGAAAAAACCTTTAAACTAGGAAGGCAGGTCGATAACAGTTTGAAGAAAATAATATGAGTAGAAGAGAAATACTTACAGTAGATAAGTGATGTCTTTTCTTGTGTGAATTTTTTAAGTCTTCAAGATTTACAGAATAAATTTTATCAGCTATAGGACATAAAGAAAAAAATGTAAAAGTATAGTTCAAAATTACACTGCTAGAGCTAGAAAATTATAATCCCTGAAAGTCTGAGGGTACCACAACTTAACGCTAATAATTGTTGAAAATAAAGTTTAAATCATAGATGAATAAAATCTTTATAAAATGAAAGTGGAACAAAGGTCAATACTACTACCAAAAGTAAAATTAAATGTCTACTATGAGACTGGGATGATGTCATTATATTCATTTTTTTATTCTCCAATGAAAATTTCCAAAAATACACACATATAAATCAAATGAAACCCAAACAAAACAGCCATAAACTCCTGTCCAGACCTCTGGAGATCTGTTTCTGGTGTTCGTGGACTATCTCCTACATGCTGCAGTTACAGACTCCACTAGATTCATGATGGCTAACACAAGTTCCATCGTGTGCACTTCCCTCTTAACAATATCAATTTTCAGTAAAAAACACAAAACAATAACTATACAAATAAATAAATACACACATATACACACCCCCATAAAAGTAGGAAGAGTGAGCACTCACCTTTACAACTGACCATATATAAGACAATCCCTGTAATGCTGTTATTTGTTATGATAAGCTCAGCTCCCAGCCAACAGGTACCTTCAGGATCCGAACTGTCACACCTTACCCAGAGGGGAGGAAGGGCGGTAACTGGACGATTAATCTTCAAATGGGTCATATTAGGATTGTGAGCCATGGTGTAAAGTCCAATTAACTGCCTTGAATACAAGAGTAGGAAGAATAAATTATAAGTAGAGATTATCAATCAGTCAAGAGTTTTCTTTTCCAAAGATATCATGAAGGGTATCTACGATTCTGACTCTGATCCCACTTCTGATCACCAACTAAGATTCTGCACTCAATTTCAATGCGTGGGGTTTTTCCCCACACCAAGCAATTCTCCAACACCAGCTGGGTGTCCTACGTTTCAACTCAATTCTGACACTATCTACCCAGAGACAGCATCAGATCCCATAGTTTAAGGACTCAGTCCTACAAGACTGTCTCTCTTCCCACCCACCTTCAGACAACACTGCAAGTCCAGGTTGTCACCTGTGCTTTTGACTGACCAGCTATAGACTGCAGGTTCCAACAACCCCTTCCTTGGGTTTGATTAATTTGCTAGAGCAACTCACAGAACTCAGAGAAATATTTTACTTACTAGATTACCAGTTTATTATGAAAGGATATAACTCAGGAACAGCCAGATGGAAGAGATGCATAGGGCAAGGTATGGGGAAAGGACACGGAGCTTCTATGCCCTGTCCCAGCATGCCACTCTCCCTGCATCTCCATGTGTTCACCCGGAACCTTTCCAAACCCTCTCCTTCTGTGTTTTTATGGAAACTTCATTATATAGGCATGATTGATTAAATCATTGGCCAATGGTGACTGAACTCATCCTCCAGCCTCTCTCCCCTTCCCAGAGGGCATGGGACTGAAAGTTCTAACCCTCTAATCACACGGTTGGTTCCCCTGGCAACCGCCCCATCCTTAGGTTACGTAGGGGCTTTCCATTAGCAAAAGACACCTTTATCATTCTCATCACTTAGGAAATTCCAAGGGTTTTAGGAACTCTGTGCCAGGAACAGTGGACGAAGACCACAGATATGTTTCTTACTATAAATCACAATATCACAGTATCCCAGAAACAAAAATCTGGAAATTAAGTGGCAAAATACATAAATATTTCACCCAGTTAAGTGGGAGAAGGGCACAACAGCAGATCAAGACACATGCACCAGAAAGCGACTGAGTGCGCCAGGATTATAGCTACTATAAGTAGGGAGTTCAACATGGCGGGAGTAGTTGTTCAGTGGGAGTGGAAGCAGGCTGTGAGATTAAGCAAAAGAAATAAATAGGATATGTCAATTATATCTCAATAAAGCTGGGGGGTGGGGGGAGAAAGTAGGAGCCAGTAAGCCCATGAAAAGATGCTTGAGGTCATCCGTCACTGGAACACTTAAGGAAATCTGAATACAGACGGTGAATTAGATAATAGTATTGTAACAACGTTAAATTTCCAGATTTTGATCATTGTTCTGCGGTTATGTAAGAGAATGTACTTGTTCTTAGGAAATACACGGTGAATTATTTAGGGGTAAAGGAACACAATGTCTCCAACATACTGTCAATATTTCATTAAAAACTGTGTGTGTGATATGTGTATGCTTATAGATGGGGGAAGCGGAGGAGGAATAAGAAGAGGAGGAGGAGGAGGACAAGAGGAGGAATGAGAGAGAGAAGGACAAAGCAAATGCAGCAAAAAGTAAATACGTAATGGGTGAATCTGGGTTAAGCGTAGACAGAAGTTCCTGTACTATCTTTTAACTTTTCTGTAAATTTGAAAGTGTATCAAAATTAAAAGTTACCCAAAAATGTGGCTTAAAAACTTCTTTTCAAAGAGATGAAAACTGAATTTATTACCAACAGATGTTCAGGAAAGGAATTTCTAAGGGATTGTACTTCAAAAAGGAAATACAATAATCCCAGAAGGAAGGTCTGAAATGCAGGAAGGAATGCAGAGCAAAGAAACGATGAGCATATGGATCATCCAGACACTGGCTGGAGAAAACAACACACATAAATAATGTTCAAGTTGTGGGCGAGAAAAGAAAAAAGGCCAAATATGACTTAAAATCAAGAAGTCACAAAGGAAAAGACTGATTAACTACAAAAAAATTTTAAAAGTTTCTACACAGCAAAACAAACAAAAACCACGAAGAAGGAAAGCCACTTTGTGAATATTGTTATAGTCATTATTCTCTGTTATTATCTACATGACTATATCCTCCAGAACTCCTTGATGGCAAAGACTTTTTGGTTTTGGGGGTGAGGGAAGCCAGGCAGAGGGAACTGCATATGGCCACACAGGCAGGAAGTGAAGCTGGCAGGGCAGACAGAGGCAGTAGAGTTGCTAACAGGCACTCCTGGTGTCTGGGTGGATAATTCCTCATTGTGCAGGAGGGATAATTCCTCATGCACTGCAGGATGTTACCATCCATGGCTCAGGCCAATAGCTTCCCTCAGTCACTGTGACAACCAAAAAGTACCCCTGCATATTTCCAAATGCCCACTGGGTATGGCACCCCTGGTGGAGGACCACTGGACTAGACAATGAAGGCTCCTATGTGTCACTCATAAGGAATTTGGATTTTATCATGAGGCAACAAGAACTACTGCAGGATTTTTAAACAGGGAAGCAACATGATCAGACTTTCATCTTATTAAGATTGCGCCGGCCCCGTGGCTTAGCGGTTCAGTGCGCGCGCTCCACTACTGGCAGCCCGGGTTCGGATCCCGGGCGCGCACTGACGCACCACTTCTCCTGCCATGCTGAGGCCACGTCCCACATACAGCAACTAGAAGGATGTGCAACTATGACATACAGCTAGCTACTGGGGCTTTGGGGGGGGTGGAAAGGAGGAGGATTGGCAATAGATGTTAGCTCAGAGCCGGTCTTCCTCAGCAAAAAAAGGAGGATTAGCATGGATGTTAGCTCAGGGCTGATCTTCCTCACAAAAAAAAAAAAAGATTACTCCAACAGCAGCAAGGACAAAAGATTGAAGGGGAACCAGATTAGACACAAGGAAAACAATTAAGAAGCAACAGCAATAAATGGCACAGGGGCGTGGAGAAAGGGAAGATTACAGCAGTCTTCTTTTATAATTTTTTACAATTTTTTCATTTATTTATTTTTTTCCCCCAAAGCCCCAGTAGATAGTTGTATGTCATAGCTGCACATCCTTCTAGTTGCTGCACATGGGACGCGACCTCAGCATGGCCGGAGAAGCGGTGCGTCAGTGCGCGCCCGGGATCCAAACCCTGGCCGCCAGCAGCGGAACGTGCGCATTTAACTGCTAAGTCACGGGGCCGGCCCTACAGCAGTCTTCTTAGTCACGTCTGGGATACCTATGGATATTCAAGGAGAGTGATCCTTGGAGAGTTGGGTATGCATGCCTAGAGGGTAGGGGAGGGATCTGGGCTAGACACACATTTTTTCCCCAATATTTATAAGAATGCTTCAATTTATTTATTTATTTTTTTCTTTGTGAGGAAGATCAGCCCTGAGCTAACATCTGATGCCAATCCTCCTCTTTTTTTGCTGAGGAAGATTGGCCCTGAGCTAACATCCGTGCCCATCTTCCTCCACTTTATACAGGACGCCGCCACAGCATGGCTTGACAAGCAGTGCGTTGATGTGCGCCTGGAATCCAAACCTGCAAACCCCCGGCCGCCACAGCAGAGCGCGCACACTTAACCGCTTGTGCCACCGGGCTGACCCCCAAGAATGCTTCAATTTAAATCCTACCCTCCACCTCTACTTCTATCCCGACACAAAGAAAAAACTTACCTTGCTCTCCCAACTGGTAAAGCAAGTGGCCCAACATTCTCACTAGTAGAGAAATCAGAAATAGCAGTTTCTTCAGATTGTAGTTCTTCAACATGACTTGTTTCTTCCTTTTCTAAAGGCTTTAAAAATGTTTTTTATTTATTTAACTAGGTAAAAGAACACTTAAGATAACAGTCAACTCTTCACTATGCTAGAACACAATGTACCAGTTTCTAAACACTTAAGCACAAATGACTGGATTATGGCAAGAATCATAGCTACACACCAGTTTGGTACCAACAAATCTCACCATCAGAAGCATTTCCACTGTCCTATAAACATATTGATCTAAGTTGCTACTGATAAAGGAAGCATCTGATGCCATTAGAAAAGGAAGTGCTCCAACATGTACAAAATGATGAACTAAAGACTACATACCAAGGGAAACCCATGGGAGACTCCCAGATTTTGTCCGATTTTTCACTCCCCAAACTCAAAGGTCCACTGCCCTTACTCCTTAAATCTATTCCTCTGAGGGCTATCCACTCTCATTTGTGTTATCAGGGTTCTGATAGCTATGTGTTTCTGATACCTATATGTTTAAGTAGCTAAATAGCTCAGCCTTACCAATAGTAACAGTAATTATAAGAGTTAACGTTTCCTGAGCATTACTATGTACCAGCTACTGGTCTAAGTTTTCTTTTATTCTCTGTAAAAACCCTGAAATAGATGCTACTATTAGTCCTGTTTTATAGATGGGAAAACTGAGGTGGTGAATGGCTAAATAACTTGCCTAGAATAACACAGCTGCTGAGTGGCAAGGCCAACATTTGAATCTGGGTAGTCTGCCTTCAAAACTCAAGTTCTTACTCATTAAGCTCTTCTGGCAGTAAATATTCTGCTGACTTAATAGGTATCAGACCTTGATGTTTCCTTAACTTTCAATTTCTTTTGCTAGTTTCCAGATTTCATTCCCTTCCAGGCCTGGCTTTCCAAATAGCTCCTAGAACTAGAAGAACCCAATATTGTTTTTTCCTCTGTACTACTTTTCAATATCCATCTAAACTCTAAACTCTAAACTAAACTCTAAAACTCATGCCTTAAGCTCTACTAATCTTCACAGGAATAAAAGCCATTTTAAGTGTTCCCCATCCCAAAGTGCCAGGGCCTCACTGAATTCCAGGTAACTCCTCACAACTGCAAACTGCATTCACACTAGTATCCTAACCCAGGATTTCCACAAATCTCTCTGCTCGTCTTTATCTTCCTAGATAACTCATCTTCATCTGACCATCTTAATTTTTTTAGCTTTTGCTCCACATACATTTCTCCTTCTCCCCATAACAAAAGTCTAAATTCAACCACATAGGGGCCAGCCCGGTGGCGCAAGCAATTAAGTGCATGCACTCTGCTGTGGCGGCCCCAGGTTCGCCGGTTCGGATCCCGGGCACACACCGATGCACCGCTTGTTAAGCCATGCTGTGGTAGCGTCCCATATAAAGTAGAGGAAGATGGGCACGGATGTTAGCCCAGGGCCAGTCTTCCTCAGCAAAAAGAGGATTGGCATGGATATTAGCTCAGGGCTGTCCTCCTCACAAAAAATAAATAAATAAATCCAACCACATACTTCACCTATAATTATTTTCCAAGCATCTGTCCACCATAGATAACCAGTAATAACACCCTTTCATCAACATAAAAGACAAAGTAGCTCCTCTCCTCAGAAAGGAGTTTTTGTGTGTGTGTATTTAAAATAAAGAGCTCCCTGTTCATTCATCACAATGCCCACTCAGACAGTATGAGGGTCCTAAAGCAGACAGAGGCGTTCCTCCTAAAGGAAAGTCCACTTTCCCCTATTTGAACCTACTCCTATCTAATTCAAGAAACAATGTAACCAAAGGAATGGGTCCTGGCCCCAAAGCAACTGTGTAACACAACAGTATTATCAGCACTCAATAAAAATCACTATAATTGCTCTGCCAAAACAGTTACCACAATTAAAACACAAAGGTTTAAGGTTGTAATTATAAAGTGATACAAAAAATAAGAAGTTCCCTCTTGTTACATTTAACAAACAAAAATTAAAGTTGAACCTTATGAGTCATAGCTATTTATGCTGTGCTATTCAATACAGTAGCCACTAGCCACAGGTAGCTATTGAGCATTTGAAACATGGCCAGACCAAATTGAGATGTAAGTGTAAAATACACACTAGATTTTGAAGACATAGTATGGAAAAAAAAAACTTAAAATATCTCATTAATGATTTTTGTATTAATTAGGTATTGAAATGATAATATTAGATATATTAAATAAAAAGAATTATTAAACCTAACTTCAGATCCAGCAATCCCACTCCTTGGTATTTCCTGTAAAGAAAACTTAGGCTTACACAAAAATCTGTACAAAAATGATTACAGTAGCTCTATTCATGATAACTGAAGACTGAAAACAACCCAAATGTCCTTCAAAGGGTGAATGGGTAAATAAACTGTGCTATATCCATATCATGGAATACTACTCAGCAATCAAAAGAAATAAACCACTGATACACACACATCTTGGATGAATCTCAAAGGCATTATACTGAGTGAAAGAAGCCAGACTCAAAAGGTTACACACTGCCTGATTCCATTCAGGACATTCTTAAAAAGACAAAACTACAGTGACAGAGAAGAGATCAGTGGTTTCCAGGAGGTAGGGGCTGGGGGAGGGTATGATTTTAAAAGAATAGCACAAGGGAGTTTTTTGGGGTGATGGAATTGTTTCATGTCCTGATTGTGGTAGTGATTACCAGATTCTATATATGTGTTAAAATTCAAAGAACTGGACAACAAAATTAAAAAAAGTCAATTTTACTATGATAATTAACTTCACTTATTTCTTTGTTTTTAATGAGGCTACTAGAAAATTTTAAATTACATATGTGGTTCACATTCTATTCGATAGCATTGTATCCCTAAAAAAATTAGAATCCACTTTCACTAATATGCTTATAAAAAATGAGCACATTTGAGATTATTCCCAAGAAACCAAATTTGGCTATTAAGAATTAAACAACCACAAAGCCCAAGTACTACTTACCACTTTTTCCATGATGAATATGACGCCATTTTCATTTAGGACATTTTTCAAAGGGTTCGGTTGGCCTTTGCTGATCAACTGCACTTGGACATCAGTCTATTAAAAACAGATAATGTCAAGCAATGATATATATACACACATACATATGTGTACAAATATTTAAACATATAAAGACCAGTTCTATGCAAGTAACTGGAAAAGAGAATTTGAACAAAACAGTTTTAAAAATAAGATTTCACTTATTCTTTACCCACGTTGTTTTTCACATTTAGAAAATCTAGCTCTTATATCTCTACCTACACACTTCAAGACCCACCTACACTGTACCCTGCCTTGTAAAGCTTCTTTTGATTAGGATCACACTGACATCCTCTTCCTCTAATCATATTGTATTTACTGTTATGTACCATAAAATTTGCACTTTACTATATGTTATCTTTTCTTCTGATTATACTATGGAATTTAGAACTTTATCAATTTATAGGAACTGTATTTTTTTATTCCAATTGCTGTAGAAAAGTTTGAAAATAGATAGCTAAAAGAGATTTTTTAAAACTCACCTATAAATTCTACTAGCCAGGGTAATCACTACTGTTATTAGCCTGGCTGGTGTATAGTTTGCCAGATCTTCTTCCAGGCATATAAATAAATCTATTTAAATAGAAATGTATCTATTATTTAGATATATAAATAGGATTTTGCTTAATAAAAATAGGATATTGTAATAGTTTTATATCATGAACCTCTTTCCATGCCATTAAATGTTCTTTGGCTGTCTAGTACCACAGCTCTACCATCATATAACTAATTCCATGTTGTGTGACATATGGAGTTATTTGCTATAGTAAACAATTGAAAATGGACATCCTTGAATTACTTTCTTAAAAAGAATAGCTAAAATCACACTGATCTTGTCAAATTGCCTTTCAAATATGTCATACCTACACATTTGCATTCCTATCACTTATGTTAACATATTGAGTATTTTCATTGTTTATTTTTACCATCTCATGGCAAACAATAGTATCCTGTTATTGTTTTAATTTTCATTTATTTGATCACTAATGAAGGTGAACAGTCTCTAATATGCTTATTATTGACAAATGTCTCTCATTATTTGAATCTGTTTAATTTCTTAGTTTGGCTATTAAAGCGTTTAGATATCAAGTTGAAAGAGCAAAGGTTGCTGTGTTATTCTAATCTACTAAGTTCTTGCATTTCAAGAACTGTTGTGGGTTGAATTATGTCCCCCCAAAAGACATGTTGAAGTTCTAACCCCAGGTTCCTCTGAATGTGACCTTATTTGGAAATAGGGTCTTTACAAATGTAATCAAGTAAGATGAGGATTAACTTGGATTAGGGGGACCCTAAATCCAATGACTGGTATACTTATAAGGAGAGATTTAGAGACACAGAAACACAGGGAGAATGCCACGTGCTAATGGAGGCAGAGATAAGAGTGATGTGTTTACAAGTCAAGAAACACCAAGGATTGTTGGAAGCTACCAGAAGCTAGGAGGAGGCAGGGAAGGATCCTTTCCTAGAGCCTTCAGCAGGGGCATGGCCCTGCTGACACCTTGATTTCAGACACCTAGTCTCCAGAACTGTGAGAGAATAAATCTCTGATGTTTTACGCAAACCAATTTGTGGTACTTTGTTCCAGCAGCCCTAGGAAACTAATAGAAGCATCAAACAGCAAGAATTCAGATAGGGAGGGTTTACTACACATACCTGGATAGACTTGACTCCTGAGTTTGGTTAGTGAGAATTCAGATACTGAGAGATAACTATACTTGTATTTTTCTTTCTGTGATTACTTATTTGAGTCCTTTTCTTATTCTTCTACTATAGTTGTCTTTTTTCTTATTGATTTTTAAAAGTTTTTTATATATTTTATATATATATGGATATTAACCCTTATCATTTATGACTGTTTTTCCCCAGATTATTTGTCTTTTAGTATATAATTTATTTTAGTTCGATAATTACTTTATGAATTAAACTCTATGGAGAGTTTACCCATGGAACACTTGGCATATATTAGATGCTTAATAAATCCATGAATGTTTATAGCAGCTTTATTCATAACTATCAAAAACTGGAAACATTCTGAGAGTCCAACTGGTGAATGGATGACCTAACTGTAGTCTATCCATACAATGGAATACTATTCAGCAATAAAAAGGAATGATCTACTGATACACACAACATAGATGAATCTCAAATGCATTATACTCATGATAGAGCCAGACCCAAAAGGCTACATACTGTATGACCTTATTTATATGACATTTTGGTAAAGGCAAAACACAAGACAGAAAACAGACAGAAAATAGATTAGTGGTTGCCAGGGACTGGGAGGAGGGGAAAGGGTGGACTATAAAGGGACATGAGGAGATTTTTGGAGGTGATAGAAATGTTTTAAAACTTTTTTATGGGGGTGGTTATATGACTGAATGCATTTGTAAAAACTCATAGAACTGTACTTCAAAATGGTGAAATTTACTCTATGTAAATTAACTTCAATAAACCCAACTTTTAAAAACTCACAGTTTTAGGATTATTGAGTTGTTTTTAAAAACCAAATAAATTGTTCATACCTCATAGATAAATGGGTCTTTAGAGATTCCTTTCTTTTCTTCATCACATTCCCTAAAATGCAGAACTACATGTGAAAAATAGAGCCACAGTATTCTGTCACTTAAACTCAGGGGTCAGTCATCACTTTATCTCTGTGCGACACCAGTGAGAAAAGCAAAATGTAAAGTATTCATGGCAGCCCTAAGGCATATTTGGGAGGGAAAAAAAACATAAAAAGAGTATCAGGTTAAGAAGAAAAGAGAAAAAAGAGACGTGGTAGCCATTAACAGACTGCTGCCCAGTTGAGTACAACTGCTCCGGAGGCAGGAAATTAGGTTAGCGACCTCTACTCTTGTGTCTTTTAAAACACATCACCAGTTACTATTAAAATGTAATTTACCACATAATTTTTGGGAAATAAAAATGACTGGATTCTGATCTGTCACTGAATCAGTGGGTAACCACAGAAAAGTTACTTAAGGGTCTCAAACCTTAGATTTCTATGGGTAAAACAGAAGCATCTATCCTCTCTCTACTTTTATGAGCTGTTACCAAAAAATTAGTAAATCTGATAATGTTAAATAATTTCCTTTTAAAAATGTAAGCATAAAACTCTAGGATACCCTTTTAATAATTATCATTTCATTCAAGAAAATTTTAAAATAGTGATTCCAAAACATGTAAACGATAAACCATTAACATATCAAAATGTACATCAGCCTGATCTACACTTTGCAAGAGAAAAGAATCTTTAGAGTCCTAAAGAAACCCAGCGGAATTGTTTCAGGACACCATTTATTATTGGATCTACTCTATGACTTACTGAAATACAAACATGAGAGCTAGGCCTGTGACTGGTTCACTTTTGCCATTTTGGACAAGATTGTGTCTTATTCTTAAAGATGTTTGTCTTTTATGTGTAACTCAGGGATGTTATTCAATCAGTCATTCAGCAATCATTTCTCAAGCATGTGTATCAGAGGCAGGCACTCTTACTAGATGTCCAGGATATAAACAAAAGCATAGTCCCTGGTTCATAGTCTTGATTGGAGTCCAACGAGTATAGCAACAGTTAGAACACGGGGTGATGAGTGCTCCAACAGAGGCGAGAGGGGCACAACAGAAGAGAGTTTGCCATAGGGCTTGAACTTGATCCTGAAAGCCAAGAGGAACTCACTTCAAGTTTTTAAATGGGAAAGATCTCTCCGATAGTAACGTGGAGGGTATAAACTTGGAGGCCAGGAAAATCGCTGTGAATAACTTGTAGTAGTTCAGAGAAGTGATGATGATGGCCCGAAAAAAAGCAGTAGGGATGGAGGGAGAACAAGTGCACCTGGTGACTGACTAGATGGGGTGGGGATGGGGGCGGCAGAACAGAGAAGTGCAAGTCTTGGGTTTGGAACTCTTAATTCAGAGATGGAATTCAAGAGTAGAACGTCAGGTTGCGAGGGGAAAAGACGAATTCAGTTTTGCAGATACTGAGTTTGAAGTCTCATGTGGAAACTTCCAGTAGGCAGCTGGATACACATGCATTGTGAGAGACTCAAGAGGAGTAAAGACGTTTGGTGCTTACAAGTGGAGAGAAAGACTAACATCCATGAAATAATTGGGATATAGAAAGGGTCTAAATAAAGTTGTTATCAATAGGAGACTGGTTAAATAAACATAAAACAGCCATAGAATGAAATATTATACAGCAGTTAAAAACAATGGGATAGATCTATAGCCTCGCATACTGAAAGCTATCCAAGACATTGTCAGCTAAAAAAACTTAGTGCTCTTCCTACAAAGTTCAAAAAATTGACAAGACTTACCACTTTTGTAAGCAGAAAAAAAGCAATAAATATAAACAATGAAAAATGATGGCATTTAGAAAATAAGGGATTAGATTATATCAGTGGTTCTCAAAGTATGGCGTCAGGCCAGCAGCATCTGCTTCACCTGGAATTTGTTAGAAAGGCAAATTCTTTAGCCCCACCCAGACCCACTAAATCAGAAACGCTGGGGGTGGGACCCAGCAATCTGTGTTTTGACAACCCTCCAGGTGATTCCGATGCACTCTCAAATCTGAGAACGACTGGATTCGATTTTTACGTTGGATGCAGAACTACATGGAATCCTTTTTGGTACTAGCACTTCACTAAAGAATAAAATGAAGACTTAGAGCACAGGGAAATAAAGGTACTTTAAAAAGCCAACACACCATCCCCTCATCATTACAGCTGTAGCTCATCTGATAACTATCTTGACTAGACTATAACAATACTTTTCACACCAGCAAGGCTTTAAACAGGTGAAGGATGCCAGCATCTACTTTTCCATATCCTGGGAGGGGCCTATAACGTATCCCAAGTTGTGGGCATTATCAGACGGAATAAAGCGCCTCTTGGAAAACTTGTCACCTTCCACCTCGATAATGTACAGATGTTTTCTCTTAAAGGAGACTACAAGCAAGCCCCCACAGGGCCAGCCCCACATTGGAGCAGATAACTGGCCTCTCCCCAACTCCCGGACCCCAGGAAATCTGACTTAGTCTGTAACAGACGCGCCCCCGGGAACTGGCAAGGGGCTAATCCCCAAGGCTGCGGCAAGAGGCTGGGGGCGGGGATCGAGATACCCCGCGGGAGAACTGCTGTCCTCGCACCCTAGCCAACAGCAGGGGCTACAACTCACTGCAGGAGACGAGTGTAAAGCTCCTCAGCAGCTCGGTTCATTCGCGACCACATCGCCCCAAGTCTGACAGCAGATCCGAACCCGCCAAACCGAACCGCGCGCCGAGCGGTGACATCCGGGGTCATGACCACCTCGCCGGGACTACTTTTACCCTCCCAACAGGTCTCGTTTCTCCGCAAAGTTAAACTTTTGTTTTAGAGCACACAGCGGTTTTTCCTGTCCCAATAGTTTTCCATTCATAAAGAAAAAGTTAAAATAAGTTGCAGCAGTTGAGGGAAAAACTCCTCGTCTCGCGAGTTAGCCACGCCTCCTTGTGGATTATTCCGCGAAAAGGAGTCCCTCGTTTCTAAGTGCTATTGTTAGCTTTGAAAGTCAATAGACACCGCAATTGGACGCATATGAAGAAATAACACACTATTTTTTATTTTTGTAGAGTGGCAGAGAGATATTTTGTGTCTCTAGATTGGTTCTGTGGCGGGGCAGGGTGGGGACCGAGTTGAAGGTTACATATAGAGCGGCAGTGCTAAGTCCTTCCTTTTCCTGCGGGAGCCGCCGGGTTGAGAGGAGCGTGGCCTTCTCTCCCCGCCATGGTGAGTGGAGGTTCTCTCGGTTGGGCTTTCTCCTGCTCTCGGGTCCCAGCAGGAATGGATTGTGGGTTCAGGGCATAAAATCTTAAGGAGAGAAAGCGAGGAAAAGGAGATGAGGACCGAAAGCATCTGTTCGTGGCTGGGAGCTGGGTAGTGCGGCTCTACGGCAGCCATCTTAGAGGCAACGTGGGCGTCCCGGCACGGGGTGCGTCTGGAAGCAACGCTGGCGGACCCGAGATTGTTCTCAGGCGCGGAGGGCCTTTTGAAATTCTAGCTTTCCCTGGATCTTAAAAGGCATGGGTTCTCCTGAAGATTTGGGAACTCTTGGGGCTTAAGGCTGAATCGGGGTGAAAGAGTCCATTTCGGGGCTTTGTATCTCCATGTGCTGTTGAAATATTTTCATCTTTTAAGAGAAAAATACCAGTTTCTTTAACAGAAAGAAACTGATATTTCACTTTTCTGAATTCGCGTGTGTTCAGCTTAAGAATCGCCTCTATAAAAGCCTTTTGATTTTCTTGCTTTAAAGATGAATTATTCTATTTGGTGTCCGCTAAATCTTTGATTTCTTACCCAGCTCATAGTATGGCTAATGTTACACGTACTGCACTTCCACAGGTAATGACTGCGTGTGTGACATGAGTGTTCTATGCCCTGGGGAGTTCCGTGAACAAAAGAGACAAAATACAGTGTCTTTATGCTTGGATAGTGATGTTCGATGGTAATGGTGCTGTAGACATTGGAGAGGAGGCGGTAGTTGGACTTGAAACAGAGTGATCAGAGAAACCTTCTCGAAGGTGGCCTGAAGGAGGTGAAGAAGTGTGCTAAGAGTGTCTCGAGGGTGAAGACTTGGCTACCTCTGAGGCAGATGGGGGCTGGCCCTGAGTCTAAGGAGGAGAGTATCTGGAAGAGTATGGGAGATAAGGTTGAGCAGATTGTTCAGGCCATTCTCAGGACTTTAGTTTTACTTTCAGGTGGTGAGTCTTTGGAGAAGGTTGAGCAAAAAGTAACATGATGTGTTTATTAAGTTTGGGGAAATGTGTTTAGAATGGGATGAAGGGGGCAAGGAGGAAGTTGGGAGGAATAGTGCTGTGGTAGGCAAGATTTGCTGACATTTGGGGTGAAAGAGTTTAGATGGTGGCATTGAGCAGCATTTTCAAACCTTACAGTATGGTTTTGATCATCTGCTTTGTAAGGCCTAGTTTGAAAGTTTCATGATAAACCATTCTTTTAGAAAATAATGAAAATGATGTGGCAGAACTTGAGATTCTAAGTGTCCTTCAAGTGTAAGAAATTATTGAGATTAATAGACCTGAGGATGTGTTGGTAACTGAGCCATTGTTTTACCTCGCCACACTCTAGTCTCTTCTGTAACTGAGCATTTGATAGTATTGTTGGCATATGAGAAGAGTGCCTCTTACATTGCTTGTGAATATAAACATCTTTTACTTTTTCCCAGGCGTGTGCTCGTCCACTGATATCAGTGTACTCCGAAAAGGGGGAGTCATCTGGCAAAAATGTCACACTGCCTGCTGTGTTCAAGGCTCCCATTCGACCAGATATTGTGAACTTTGTTCACACCAACTTGCGCAAAAACAACAGACAGCCCTATGCCGTCAGTGAATTAGCAGGTAAGGATTTAGATCTTTCATGGGTTGGTGTTCCTAAGAGCTACTTGACAGCAGTGATGAAATTCCATTCCATTGGTCCGTGTTTCTGAACTGCATGATTTTCCTGGATGTTCTGATGCTGTTTGCTACCATGCATAATAGTCAGGTTGGTGTGGCTGGGTAGCTAAAACTTGGATTTCTTCCCAATTTCAGGTCATCAAACCAGTGCTGAGTCCTGGGGTACTGGCAGAGCGGTGGCTCGGATTCCCAGAGTTCGAGGCGGTGGGACTCACCGTTCTGGCCAGGGTGCTTTTGGAAATGTATCCTTTGTTTCACTACCTAGACTGGTTGGCTCTCATGGAATTTAGCAGACAGGACCTGGTTTATTCATGTTAGTAACTTGAGAATATTTCTATCCAAAATACTAGTAATGTCCAGGTTAAACGTTGCTCCAGACAGATTTGAAATCTGGAAGATTTTTCTGTCAAATGTTTTTCATAAAGACAGCGGGGGCTTGACTTGAAGTTTTGCTTGCAATGATGTCATAATTTGCGTCTTACTCTGTTCTCAGCGACAGTTGCCTGCTGTCAGTAAGCTGGTTCAGAAGGGTGACGAAAATTTTTACTGAGCAAGACAATCTTTTTTTTTAATTCCTAAAATTTGAGAAAGCTGATTCTTAACTTCAAAAATAGATGTGCCGTGGGGGCCGCATGTTTGCACCAACCAAAACCTGGCGCCGTTGGCACCGCAGAGTGAACACAACACAGAAGCGATATGCCATCTGCTCTGCCCTGGCTGCCTCAGCCTTACCAGCGTTGGTCATGTCTAAAGGTTTGTAATATTTTGTGTTGTAGGAGTGGTACAAAATATCCTTTTTTTTTTTTTTACTTCACCTGAACCTTTTCATTCATTTTTTTTTTTTTTTTTAGTTTTTATTTATCCCCCCCATGCCCCAGTAGATAGTTGTATGTCACAGCTGCACATGCTTCTAGTTGCTGTATGTGGGACGCAGCCTCAGCATGGCGGGAGGAGCGGTGCATCGGTGCGCGCCTGGGATCCGAACCGGCGAACCCTGGGCCGCCGCAGCGGAGTGCGCGCACTTAACCGCTTGCGCCACTGGGCTGGCCCCTTCATTCATATTAATAATAGCCTATGTAAATTCTGTTCATTTCAGAGTGCCTGACTAAATTTCCTTTTATTAATTATTAGTTCTGACTACTTCAGTTTAACAAATCAGTCATCAGTGAATAAATGTAACTGAGGAATTAATTCAAATAGTGATTTAGTATATTAGGAATTTTTCCACTTAAATTTCATCATGTTGCCCACTCTATTTTTATTTAACTGTCAAAATGATGAGATTCCACTTCATTGGTCCGTGTTTCTGAAACACATGATATTTGTGGAAATTCTGATTTGGCAAATTGTATATACCATTTTGGTTTTGTGGGTTATATAAAATGTTCTCAATTTTTCAAAAGGTTCAAGATAACCAGAACAGTGTTAATTGGCTTTGTCAGGTCATCGTATTGAGGAAGTTCCTGAACTTCCTTTGGTGGTTGAAGATAAAGTTGAAAGCTACAAGAAGACTAAGGAGGCTGTTTTGCTTCTTAAGAAACTTAAGGCGTGGAATGATATCAAAAAGGTAGGTTTAATGAACACATTTACAGTTCGGTAGTCCTTCCCACAAATTTGTTGTCAGATTTTAAATTTTGGAAGATAACTAAAAGGCAGTAGAACTAAACCTTAGTGGATATGAGAGCAAAGACTCTGGGACCATACTACTTGAGTTTGAATCCTGACTGCCATTTACAGCTGTGTGTTAATGTTAGGCAAGTCATTTGTGCCTTAGTTTCATCATCTGTAAAATGGTGGGTTTTTTAACTATGCAGACCTAGTGCAGGGGTCATATCTTAATCGGAATACTAAACCTTCTCACTTTTTAGGTCTATGCCTCTCAGCGAATGAGAGCTGGCAAGGGCAAAATGAGAAACCGCCGTCGTATCCAGCGCAGGGGACCCTGCATCATCTATAATGAGGACAATGGTATCATCAAGGCCTTCAGAAACATCCCTGGTAATCCTTGCACTGCTTACGTGTTTTGATTGCCCATACAATTGTAAGCTTACTTGGCTTTTATTATGATGAGATTCCACTTTATGGTCCGTGTTTCTGAAACACATGATTTTGTGGAACTTCTGATTCTTGGCTGAATGAGTGCACCATTGATGGTTGAAACTGCATAATTAATAAGATAGATCTCAAGTACCTTAGGTGTAGCACATAAGCCTAAAGATGATTTGTGTTTCTTCTGTTGAAATACAGGCTCCCTAATTCTCCTTTCCCTTTAAAAGGAATTACTCTGCTTAATGTCAGCAAACTGAACATTTTGAAACTTGCTCCTGGTGGGCACGTGGGACGTTTTTGCATTTGGACTGAAAGTGCTTTCCGCAAGTTAGATGATCTGTATGGCACTTGGCGTAAAGCTGCCTCCCTCAAGAGTAACTACAAGTGAGTGTCCTTCCTATTGCTATACTGAACACAAGTGTTTATGCCGTGCATATTTACATTGGAAATTGGTTTGCATGTTTTCTAAATGCATTGTGTCAACATTTCCCCTTATGCACAGATGCAATATGCTGAAATGGTAAGATATTCTGAGAAGTGATAGTGTGGTGGAAATTCTGATTGAATTCTAGATGGCTAAATGATTAAAAATATGTTCTGTTCAGGTTCACATTCTTTAGTCAATTACATGAGAAATAGGAATTGAGCATCTATTGTCAACATTTTCTCTTTTTCTTTCAGCCTTCCCATGCACAAGATGCTCAATACAGACCTTAGCAGAATCTTGAAAAGCCCAGAGATCCAAAGAGCCCTCCGAGCACCACGGTAAAGTTGTGATGTTTACAGTAATTCTTGCCCCAATCTTATACTGTTGGTTATTTCAAAAACGTGGATAAGGCAAATGAAATACTAATGTGTCTACCTTTTTATAGCAAGAAGATTCATCGCAGAGTCCTGAAGAAGAATCCACTGAAAAACCTGAGAATCATGTTGAAGCTAAACCCATATGCAAAGACCATGCGCCGGAACACCATTCTTCGCCAGGCCAAGAATGTAAGCAATTATTTGATTTTTGCCGGTATATTAAGCTTTTTAGAAAGGTTTGTTTCTTAGATTTTCTCCCTGATTTGTTGCAGCACAAACTCCGGGTGGATAAGGCAGCAGCAGCAGCACTAGAAGCCAAATCAGATGAGAAGGGGGTACCAGGCAAGAAGCCTGTGGTGGGGAAGAAAGGAAAGAAGGCTGTTGGTGTTAAGAAGCAAAAGAAGCCTTTGGTGGGAAAAAAGGCTGCAGTTACCAAGAAACCAGCAGCTGAGAAGCCTGCAGAAAAGAAACCCACCACAGAAGAAAAGAAGCCTGCTGCATAAACTTTGTTTATTCTGTAAAGGTCAAATCATTTTGGACAGCTCACTTTGAATAAAGAAAGACCTGATCAAAGAGACAGTCTGAAACATGACTTGTTGGGTGTGTTGTGTGATTCTTGGTTAGAATTTTTTTAATGACACTTTAGTATCCATAATTCTAGCCTTTCAGTTCAATTTTACAGTCTGCTATGCAATGGAGCCTTGGATTTATAATAAATGCATGCACTTGAATGGGAAAGGGGATGCTCCATAAATCCAGATATAACATCTATTTTGTAAGTAACACAGTGTCTTGAAAGACTTGTCTTAGAAATACACAGAAGCTGTTAGAATTTAGCCCCAGCCCTAAAAAACAAACCTTGGAAAATGGGCAAAATTTTGTCAAGATTTGACATCTCAGTAACCACAAGAGGGCAGAATCGGACGGAATACATGTTTTGAAGCACAGCAGTAAGAAATTGATGGTGTTCTCAGAGAAGTGTTCTTAAAACCGGGACAGGGCCTGCCCAGTGGCTTAGCGGTTAGGTGCGCACGCTCCGCTGCTGGTGGCCCGGGTTCAGATCCCAGGCGCGCACCGATGCACCTTTTTCCGGCCATGCTGAGGCCACATCCCACACACAGCAACTAGAAGGATGTGCAACTGTGATGTACAACTATCTACTGGGGCTTTGGGGGAAAAAAATAAATATAAAATTTAAGAAAAAATGATAAACCTGCTGGGATAGAAGACAGTTGGAGGAAGTGCTTGCCGCCCTTTTTGTTTTGACCCTTGGTATTCAAGTGCCAGAAGCATTTTTGGAACCACTTAGGTATCTGACAGCTTTACTAGGGGATGAATGTTGACCAAGCATGGTGGGGAGAAATGTACTGACGAGCATTAGGTTTTTCTCTGAAGTTTTTAATTTGTCAATGGTGTCTTACTGCCTTGGAGTTGATCTGCTCTTACCTCTTTTTGTCTCACTTCAGGGTCTTGTTTTACATCTGAGTTTTTCCCCAGTGCTCATCTCAAAATCCAAGGATGGGATGATGTACTGTCTTCCCGTTTGCAGACTGGAGATGCCAGTTCCTTAGCGTGTGAAGCCCTTGTCTCCAAATCCAGTCTCAGCACCGCTGTGTCTTAATACTCTTTAATTTGCGCAGGCCTCCTGGGAAGCCGCTTGCCTAGGCATCCTTGCCTGCAGAAACCACATTCAACAGTAGGGATCCTGTTCCCGTGTGCTAGATACTGGAAGTTTAAGTCCCTGCCTTCCAATGCATCTGCAGGTTTTGTGGAGCTGAAACAGCCACTTGTGGCACCACGACATTGGAATTGTGATACAGCAAGTACTGTCCAACTGAAGCATTTGAAACGATATTTGACCATTTTCTCTCCAGGTTCTTGACAGTTCAACACCCTGTGCTTTAGGAATCCTGATCATTACTCGAGTCTAGGCTTGGTTTAAAACCCCGGTTTGTGCCTCTCAGCTGGTCCGCAGCCACGCAGCCTGCGCGAACGCCGGCAGGAAGCCGCGCCGCCCCGCCCCGCCCCGCCCCGCCCCAACCCACCGTGCCGCCAGCCCCGCCCCGCGCGCGGCCCCATTTCCGGGAAGGCGGAGGCCGTGGCGTCATCACCGAGCGCCGGGCCGCCTGGACAGCGCGAGGGCGGCGGGCGACGGGCCTGAGGAGGTGCGATGCTCAGCCGGCTTCAGGAGCTGCGCAAGGAGGAGGAGACGCTGCTCCGGTTGAAGGCGGCGCTGCACGACCAGCTGAACCGGCTCAAGGTGACCCCGCGGCCCCTGCCCCTCCCGCTCCCGGAGCCCCGTGCGGCTGCGGCGCCCACCTCGTGCCTCCCTCGGCTGGCGGTTCACCCGCCCGTGGGGAGCGTGTTTGGAGTCGACGGCCCACCCCTGTCAGAGTCCCGTCCTGCGGGTCTCGGCCGAGCCAGCGCGCTGCACGGGTGGCGAGGGCGGCCTGGCCGCTGTCCCTGCTCTGCTGGCGCCTGAGACAGCCCCGGGCTGCCGAGGGGCAAGGACGCGCATCCTCCGGTGCTGCGAGCACAGGCGGCGAGGCCCTGAGGGCAGAGACCTGTCGCGCAGTAGGGTTGCCCGGAGCTCTTCTTCCCGGAGCTGGTACTGACCGCGGCCTTGACGGGAGTCGAGAGTGGGCCCACTAGGGCCCGTCCCACTTCACCCCCCCAGCCCCAGGGACATGACCCTCATGGTCCCTGCTCAGCAGTGGCCTTCAGGACCTTCAAATCCACATGAGATGAGGGTTGTGAAAGTTCTGTAAACTGTGACGTATCAGAATGATTCGCTTTCCCTCAGGACCTGTAAGGCCTGCACCCATTCATGTCCTTACATCGCCACAGTGCCTGGACAGGTCCCTACTGTGTGTCGGTGATGCCCTCCAAAGCCCACATTCCTTGATGCTCCAGGAAACACTTCCATTTTCCAGGCGAGGGAGTCGGCCTTCTGTGGAATCACAAGACACCTGGCTCTTTTTGTGTGTGTGAGAGGAAGATCAGCCCTGAGCTAACATCCGATGCCAGTCCTCCCCTTTTTTCCTTGAGGAAGATTGGCCCTGGTCTAACATCCGTGTCCGTGTCCGTGCCCATCTTCCTCTGCTTTATATGGGCCGCCGCCACAGCATGGCTTAACAAGCAGTATATCGCTGTGCGCCCGGGTCCGACCCTGCGAACCCCCGGCCGCCAAAGCGGAGCGCGGGCACTTAACTGCTGCGCCACCAGGCCGTCCCGACACCTGGCTTTTCTAAGGGCACGCTTGTGTTTTCTCCCCCGAGCTGCTATGTCTGGGGGATTGGGAGCCTGGCTCAGCTGGAACACCTGTACCCCAGGGGAAAGGGGCTGGAGGCTTTCTTTGCTCATTTCCTTAAAAGGCCAGGAAAGCTTAAGGGCCTCACCCTTCCCTCTAAAGCTGCACAGATTACAGTACCCTGCTTTCACTTCCTCTCATGGAAGCACTGCTTTTTACAGCATGCTTAGTAAATTTTACCCACATCAGTATCTCAGTGAAATAGTAAGGAAAGTGTCCTCAACTCTTCTTTTCTAGGTTGAAGAAATGGCCCTTCAATCAATGATTAGAAGAGGGGATGAGATGCTGCCCTCTCCACCTGCACCTGAACAATCACATGATGTAAGCTTAATCAAGTGTGGGCCTAGGGAGAGAATGCAAAGTCCATTCTGCTCCCATGCTGCTTGGTGGTCACAAATTGTTCTAAATCACATTATTAGGGCCCAAAGGACTGTGGGAAGTGCTAAGAAGAATTTTCTAGTTTAATGAACTGTCTATTCCATATTACTGTTTTAGACAGGGAAGAGCCCGCCTTTCTAGCAGCTTGTTAAACTGATTGATTTTTAATTAAGTGTTATTATATTGCCTCTATCATCCTGGTCATCCGTTCTCTCGTTACTCCAATGAATCCAGGGAGAGTGGAGATCTTTGCAGGGACGTGTCAGAACTTTTGCTGCTCTGTGAATAAGCAAGCTTGGGATTCAAAAATAGAGTGTAGCTTCAACTACAAAGCATAGTGCTAAAAAATGAGTCCTAGTCCTCATTGGATCCTTCTCTTACCAGATTCCCTCAGGTAAATCAGTAAAATCATCTTTGTCTTTCTAAATGTACATATTTGAGCAGTTCTTCTCCCAGATGTGTATTAAGCCATTCAAAACCATTTGAAAGCAGCACATCTAAGCCAGCATAATTATTTTGTAAGAACCATGTTTGTAAATCAGGAAACAGTCTACCAAATCTAGCATTTACCCTCCTCTCATTTTTGGCAGTGGGGGTGGGGAGTCAGGGTAGAATTTGGAGAAATAGGAAAGTGGCCATACCTCTTGGTGATAAATATTGAGGATGAATATGCAACTGCAATTTGATTTTCAAACATTTTTAAGAATTTGCTGTTTTGAGGCCAGTGTCTTTCCTACTAATCCATAATTTCCTTGGCTGAAGCAGATGTTGGTGCATGTAGACAATGAAGCATCAATCAACCAAACTGCACTGGAGTTGAGCACAAGGAGCCATGTGCCAGAAGAAGAGGAGGAAGAGGAGGAAGAATCAGATTCCTGAAGGGGGAGAAGAGCTGGGGTTAGTTATACAAATTAAATTTCTAAGTCTCAGGAACTTGCTCTCTTCAAAGAATTCTTGCCATGGGCCCTGTGGCCTGCTTTAAAAGGAAGCAAGAACTTTAGGAGGATGTGTAGTTGTAAAAATGGTTCCATCAATAACTCAGGTTTCAGAATGCTTTAACAAAAATTAGTGACATGTAGAAAAGCAGAGATGCAATGTCTTAACATTAAGCAGTACGAGTGGTGCTGTATCTGTATTCTGGTCAGATTCAGTAATTGTGTTCAAAACAGAAAATTTCCTCTGAAATGCTATTAAGAAAGTCTGGCATTTGCAAAAAGGGCAGAGTTTAAATACAAGCCAGCCTTTCCAATCAACAGTGCCTCTTTAAGAAAACCAATTAAAGGCTGTTTGCATGCCATTGAACCCTTGTGGGCAGAGCAGGGCCACAGTCTAGGAGAGAAAGATGACCAAGAGGAGGACAGAGGGCCACTTGAGAGCACAAGCTATGGCCACCTCTCAGTGACATCACAACACACTGCCTACTATAGGCTGCTTTGTGTGGCTGTTGTCATGTTTAGGTTGAGACGTCACTGTGGTTAAAATGTGCTTAGAAATAAATTATAGATAAATAGCCATCATGCAGCTTGCTGGTTTCCAGAGAGCAGCAGAGAAAAGGATTAGCTTCTCCTCTGGGGCAAGTAATACAGCAGTATTTCTGGACTTAGAGAGGAAATGTGTCATTAAAGAGGGAATCACTATGCTTGGGAGATTGGATTTTTATAATAAAGAGATGACAGTTACAGAGTAAGAGTTAATAAAACTTGGTATTTGAAGTTGAGATTCATTTCTGCGCACTGTCCCTTTTCCACTGAATGTATAGTTTAGTTGCTTAATTTTATAAAAGTAATTTGCGGGGCTGGCCCAGTGGTGTAGTGGTTAAGTTCGCATGCTCTGCTTTTCAGTGGCCCAGGGTTCATGGGTTTGGATCCCGGGTGCAGACCTATGCACCACTTATGAGGCCATGCTGTGGCAGGTGTCCCACATATAAAGTGGAGGGAGATGGGCACAGCTCTTAGCTCAGGGCCAATCTTCCTCACCAAAAAAAAAAAAAAAAAAAAAAGGAATTTGCCCTGCCTGAGCAACAGAAAAGCTAAACAAAACACAAAGAACCTGCTCAAGTAGAACTTCTTATGTAACTGTTTAGAAACAGAAATTTCTAAATTCTTAGTTATTTGGGGTGAGGGAAGTGGGAGAAAGATGAGAAATAGAAAATGTGATAGCTCCTTTTAAAATGCCTTATATGGAAGCATTTTCTGAGAGATGTTGGTTTGTTCCAGAAGAGAACATGGATATATTTGTTAATCGACATTTCATTAAAGTTATTTTGAGCTAGTCTTACAGGAAATAGCCAGAAGTTTTCTTGGAAAACACAGTGTGAAAATAGCTTTGCAATGAAAAGCATCAAGGTGTACATTTTGGGAGTCTAATTTAAAATACGAGCATGGGTTTTTGAGCTAGAAAAAGTGCCTGTGAATTCTAGCTCTGGCGCGAGCTAGAGCTCTGGATCTACCAGCTCTAGTGGCCAGCCGGTTAGTGGCGAGCCTTCTCACCTCTGCAGCTCTCACTTTCCCATCTGTAAAATGAGGGTATTCACATCTACTCTGGCAACTGCACAAGTTGTTGTGAGGTGCTAATGAGATATCATTTAAAAATCCAACCACTGTTGGTGTCTCAGTGAGAAGTTTGAGGAAGGAATTTGGCATGGGGAACTCAAACAGCAAGACTGATGCAGGGAACAGCATTCTTAACAGGAATTTGGCATGGGGAACTCAAACAGCAAGACTGATGCAGGGAACAGCATTCTTAACAGGAATTTGGCATGGGGAACTCAAACAGCAAGACTGATGCAGGGAACAGCATTCTTAACAATGAGGTCATTCTTGGTAAAAATTACTAGGAAAAAATCTTTTGACTCTGAAAATGTAATACCTTTGGATGTGAATAGAGAATTTAAAACACCCCTCAAAAGACAGCATGAAAGCATTCAGATCCAGGTTTTAGACTCCAGGTTAATCATTTCTTCCTTTTAAGATGCTGTTTGCACATTTTAATGAGACAGTCTCAATAGTAGTGGCATCCTCTCCGTTAGCAAAAGATACAGGGTGTGTGGAGGGTGTGGGTCTTAAACCTCGGTCTGAATGTTTGTATGTTGAAAACATGTTAAGTTACACCGTTGACTTAGAAGAAGTGTTAGCCTCACATCAAGAGAAAATGATTGACTAGCTGAGGCAGCAGTATATACAACACTAACCAGTTTTTAAAATCCTGGCTGTATCCTAAGCTCTGGTAGATCTAGAGTGAATTACCTGCTCAGATAAAAACCAACTTTGGTTTTTAATTTGAAAATGAAATAGGCCTTTTTATTTTTAAATATACATTTATTTTGGTTTTCTATAACCTGCCCTCTCAAAGAAGAAAATGAGAGAAGAGGTGCTGACCAGGCAGCCTCACATGTACCTAAGTTCCAAAAGTCACTTTTAAAGAAAGGGCACCATTGGCAGGTTGGGACATGGCTTTGTTTTCTGTGACTTCACTGCCACCTCACAGGCATGACAAAGCCAGCGCTAGGCACATTCCTTCTCTCCAGGAAGGTGTAGTTAAATGTAATTGGTGAAAGAGGGGAAACCATTGCTCAGTGGAGCAAAGCAGCACAGAACTGACTGTCCCGATTAGAGGTGCCAGTGCCAACCAGGCGTCCTGTGAGCGTGTCGACCACTCCCTATCCCCACCCCTGCCTACTTCTCTTCTCTAATATAAAGAGACGGGATCTATTCACAGGTCCACAGGAAAGGTGCAAGATTCACAGATAAGGGTGTTTTGGTGAGAAGGAGTTGGACAAAGTTCAAAGATTGGAATTACAGGAAGCCCCATTAGTCCAAAGCACTGAAATTGTCCTCAGCACGGTATTTCCGCCTCCAGCCTCCTTCCTGTCTTTACCTTTCCCCTCACAATAATGCTTGGCTAAATCATTTGATTTCTTATATACAGAAGACACTGAAAATCCTACCACAAAAGTAGAAGTATTCTTTCATCCTTTTAACTTGACAGTATATTTATTAGAATAAGAGATTAGATTTGTTAAACATCTGGATTAAAATGGTTAAAAGGATACAATTTTTAGGCACTATGCACACTGTTGTTTACAATAGCATCAGTACTTGGATTTGGGGAAAAATAAATCTCATACTTTTAATGCCTTGATCCATCTGTAACGTTCAAAGTAACGCCACCATTTTAGAAACACTGTCCAAACTTAAAGAGACATATCCCACTAAATATCCCACACAGTATATTTAAAAATAAATATAGAAATACAACCAGAAGTCTACAAATCATCAGAGTAGACAGACTGGTGAAGCCCCAGCTATCATGGCAGTGAAGGGCTTTGGCTAGATTTTGATGGAAATTGCTGAATTCTACACCAAAAGCAAAAAAATAATAATAAAATAACATGATACATACTTTCTGATGCTCATTTTCATAGCAGCAAAGCATGCTTCACATGCACTGCCTGTGAAGGATCTTACAAGGCTCCTTCCTACTCAAATAGAAAGAAGGTACGCCCGGCAAGAATGAAGTACCACTAAGTGTCAAAGAACCCCAAAAATACAGGCAGCCAGCCAGTCACGGCGAAGGAAGAGCTGTGCAATTTTCAGTAAGAATGACTACCCACAAGTCACCAAAGTTTCACTGAAATTTAACATTGCGCATGTTTTGATCATCAACATACACAAAACAGCCCCAAGCACAAAGCCAATCCACTTAGGGGAATAACAATAGTAAAGACAGTACTATTAAAAATGACACAAAGAGAATTTTGGCACATGCTGTGTTCTTCATCCTTTGTCATAGGTGAAATGCACGTCTGAACAGACAGGCATGGGAAAGAGGCCTAAAAGCAACATGGCACACCACTAGGCATTCATTCTTTGCTGCTTCCCAAATGCTTAAATGCCAGCCGCATGGGTTGGTGTGCTGGGCTGGTTAAGGCCGATGGTGGAGCAGAGCCAACCTGCAAAATCCACTTCCTCAGCGTCAGATCTCTTGATAAAAGCATGAACCTGCGTGCGAGGAAACAAGGTAAGTGGTGTTACAAGACCACCAAGAAGGAAAATTCAAGAGTCCTGGGTTTAGAGCTTGTGCTGCCCTTGGAAGGAGGAGCCTGCCCTTGAGCAGCCCTGGGGACCAGGAAAGCAGGGCCAGCCGCAAGCCAAAAGCACCCCCCCATCCCCCACCCCACCCCCGCCTCTGCCAGTTTCACCAGCTGCAAGGCCTTGGGCGACTCACTTCCCTGGGAGCCTGCTCTCTCCCGCTATTAAATGGAGATAGTAGCTCTGCCTTCAGTGCCTCACAGGGTTGTTAGAAGGAACAAAGGAACTGATGAACTTGAAAGTGCGTGTTACACCAGATAGGCTGTACGAGGCGTGTAAGCTCAGATATTTACAGTGTTGCTTCCCCACTCCTCTCCCTACACCACCACCTAACCAGAGGAGGCAAGTGGAGAGTGGCTTGGGGAGGCTGCTGAATGTAAGGCAAACCGGTCAATACTAGAAGACCCTGTCCCCATGAAGGGGTGGTCTGGCCCTTTCTTTCCCCGGACTCCCTCGGGCTGCAGGGTCATCCCAGCTTTTCTTTTAAACTGATGGGAGGACAGAGGAGACTGATGTTTGGTATCCTACAGCCTCAGGGTCAGCTGGATGGCAGTGGTCAAGGCAGAGCAGGGAGTGGGCTCAGGAAGTACTGAACAGATGCTTGACGGGAGGAGAACAAATGAATAAACAGGTAGTCTAAGAATCGGAAATAAATGGACTTACCATGAGTTGCTTCAAATCTGCTCTCTCTGCGGGGTTTTTTATTAAGCTTAAAGGAAGAAAGATAATGTGAGAGCTATTGCCTGGTGCTGGTTCTAACTCCAAGTTTGCATGTCTGTCCTCCCCACACCCTCTAGGCTCTGAGGAGTCCCTGAGCCTTGTTCATCTTCCTGTTCTCAGCACAGTGCCAT